CAGTGCCGGAACTGCTTAGTTTTATAATTATCTTAGTAATAAATGATCAAGACAAGTGTCATCTATGGATGTAAACTACTGGGCTAGAAGTTTGTGGGTAAGAAAATACTCACATTCTTAAAAGTGCTGTCCAAAAGTTACTACTATCAATGGGGAACTATATCATGAGAATGGAGATATTTGACACATATTGCCTTTTATAATGATCAAATTTAATATGGGCAATAACAGGACACATGGAAGGCACGTGCTGAGAGAGGGACATACATCATCTGTGCATTTATTTCCACCAAACCCCTTAAATCTGACTAGAACATGAAAAACAGCCAGGAAAGTCCAAATGGAGGCCATTCTGGACCAAATTCACTGTATTTTTTCAAAATGTCAATGTCATGCGAACACAGTGTCCTGGATGAAGGGAGTGCAGGAATTATGATGACTAAATGCGGAGGGTAATTCTGAATCAATTTCATCTGAAAAGATGAAATTCGAAAGGACACTATTGGGGTAATGTAGAGACTTTTTATTATGAACTATATATTTCATGATATTGTATCAGTGTGAAATCTCCAGATGTACTCAGTATATCATATTAATGCAGGAGAATGTCTTTGTCTTAGGAGAAACATCCTGAGCACTTATTAGGAAAGTATAATATCTACAAGTAATTCCAAATAATTCACAAAAAATGTGAATATTTATATGTGAGTGTTAAGTGTATTTGTGATTATGTATATACTTGGGCACAGGGTATATTCACTAAAGGAGTGAGAGAGAAAACAACTGAGGCTAAATGTGAAACTCTGAAATCTAGGCGAAGGTTATATATGGGCATGATTTCTACTTTGGCAGCTTTTTAAATATTTCAAAATAAAAGTTGGGAAAATATGGTTCATTCCATTTATTCTGTTGTTTTGCAATCCAGTTATTTCTGTTATATTTGGGGAATATGTAAGCCTTTTAGAGACCAATCTTATTAAAGTATATATTTGTCTAGTAATCAAGTAAGAATTGAGCTTCAAGAGAAAGATGCTTTTTTTTCTTTTCCATTTATCAGCTTACTTGTCTGTTTTTGATAAATGTCTGTTTCAGCTAGGATAGGTAAGTTTTTTCTTTATCAACAACTTTTTAAACGTTATTGATGTCAAAAGCTATGTATGCAACTCAGTAACTTTGAGATAAATATACAACTATGAAACTATCACCACCTTGAAGGTCATAAGCATTACAGCACCTCTCAGTTTCCTATTTTTCCTCCTTTATTATTTTTTATGTGTGTATGGGGAAAAAACATAAAATCTACCCTCCTAGCAAATTCTGAGGATACAATACAGCATTGTTAGTTATAGTCGCTGTGTTCTGTAGCAAATCTCCAGAGCCAATTTATCTTGCATTAACTGAAACTTTGTATCCTTTAACCCTCACTTCCCCATTTCCTTCTCTTTCAGCCCCTGACATCCACCATTCTACTCTCTGCATCTATGAGTTTTGATGATTTTAAATTCCACATTTACATGGGATTATATAGTATTGGTTGTTGGTTCTGGCTTATAACAATATCCTCCATGTAACTGTAAATAGCAAGATGTCCCTTGTTAAAGCTAAATTTCCATTGTATATTTACATTGCACTCATGCATCGATGGGCATTGAATGTGATAGTGCAACTATCTCTTTGAGATCCTGACTTAAATACTTTGCATAAATACCTAGAACTGGAATTTCTGGTTCATCGGATAGTTTCTATTTTTAATTTTTTTTTGAGTAACCACCATATTGAGTCCCTTAATGGCTGAATTGATTTATATTCCCACTAACAGTGTACAATTTTAACAACATACTTCTGACCAATGAACACAGTATATGTTTCCATGAATTTGTGGCTTTCAAAATTTATTTCATCAATGTTTTATGGCTTCTAGTGTACAGATATTTGGAGAGGACAGTTTCTTAACAATTACTCTTTAATCCTAAAAATATCTGAAACAGGATAAATAGACCATCAGAAGCATATATGATGATCTATATATGTATATATATATATATATGTAACTGTATATGTAAGATGATCACATTTCTATAAAAAATGATAGCATCAGGAAGAGCAAAGCTAAAGATATCTTCCCCCTTCATAATTTCTGCCAGTTTAGCCTATGATACTACCCAAAATTGGGTATGGAGACCATTTTCTAATTCTGGAATACCACTAGTGATATTTTGTATGCATTGATGCAGGAAAACTACTTAGCATAAAGTAATCTGGACTGTTAAATGAATGAACTGTCTTTTTGGAAGAGGTGCTTCAATTCTGTGGGAAGTTTCATGTCAAATGAATTGACACAGACGATAAACCTTGAAAAGAAGCTGAACTCAGATAAGTATGCGTTTTCTCTACACTATCTAAAACTTGAAATTATGTGTTAGGGACTTCTGGAGTCCTTTAGGGCCATTCTGGCAGAAGCAGGTTATTGGATTTGTAGAAGCAGCGTTGACAGTTAGCGTGCCTTTTGTAAGTTCATATCTGAGTGGGAGAACAGCAGATCTGTGGGATAGCTTTTGCTTGGAATGAAAAGCAAGAAGCATTTTTGGTGGTCACCAGAATGGTTTGTGGCCCAAACTAATCATTCAGCATTCAAGGCTGAAGTAAGTGAAGAGCATGAAGGGATAAGTGATAAAATTTTGTGATATTTTTATTATGTTATCATAGATTTCTCTCTCTCTCTCTCTCCCTCTCTCTCTCTCTGACCCCCCTTCCCCAAACATCATACTTTATTTACTGAAAACCATCATAATTCCCAGGGAATATGTTCCATATAGCAGTAACAGCTACTCAGTAAAACCATGAGAAGGACATCTACACTGTTTGATTTAATTATAAATATTTAAATATCATTCAATACAAGCCCTGGAAAAAATGAGGGCGTGGAGACATCTCCCAGTAGGGTAGCAGCTTGTTAGAGAGAGAAGCTATATCCTTTACCTAAAAGGTTTCGTTTGACTAAATTGTTTATAGGAACATATTGAATAGAGAATGAAGAGATTGGTATATGTTATATTCTGGATGTAACCTTAGATATAGAGCTTGAAATAATTTCTCGGTTTCTTATAAGTTCCTGTTTCTATGAACGACATTCCAATCACTGGGCGATGTTCTCATCTTGCCCCCAAGGAATCGTTCCCTAGCTGAGTCTGGATAAACATTCAAAGGACACAATTCGTGAGCTCAGCAGAAGATACGTGCACAGAACCAGGAGCATCTTCTTTCTGGACTGTGTAACATCGGCATCATCTGCGCCATAATTATTCAGGATGTGGCACTGTACAGAGCAGGGTAACCCAAAGGTCCACACCCCATGCCAGGAGAATCACCTTCACTTAAGACCGTGGCAGAGTGGTGAAACATGGCTCCTACTTATTGACTCAGAATCCTGGGAGTCATGCCCAGGAATTTTTAACATCACTAGTTAACTTTACGGTGTCTAACAGCCTCAGGTTTTAATAGATGTGAAGCAGCAACTAGACACTTAGCTGAACATTCTCAAAAGACAATCATGATCTGTTCACTTTGCCAAATAAAAGTGTTTTCCAAATTGCAAATGGAAAACTACTTATCTATATAGCATGTTATAAGAAATAGATTCTTACAAATGTAAATGTGCTATATTTTCTTGAAAGCTGATGCTATTGTCAGATCTTTAGCAATGAAAATAGTAAAATAAAGTGGTCGAAAGAAATTCTGCAGTATCTTTCGTAACTCCTATAAGCTTTATTTTCCTCAGGGTCACCCCTGTTAAGGGACACAGTGTTAAGTGAAGTCTTCCTTATTTGGGTTTATGCCTATATTGGATGTCTGCTTGCTTCTCCTTAAGAGTTCTTAGGAGCTCAGCAAAGATTGCCTTAGTGTGTAACTCCTTGAGGGATTGCAGTGTGGTTGAGTCACAAGGAGTTTGGTCCACTTGCAAAATAGACCTAGAACTAAGCAAGCCCTGAGCTCCAGAAACTGTTCCTGTGCTTTACTGCTTTTGTCCCTTAGACATGATCTGAGGCAAAAGATAATGTGGACATTTTGTCGGTGGAGAAAGGAGTGCAGGGACTGGTAGAGACATTTTTTTTTTTTGTCCCTATTAGAGACATTTCTTTTTTTATTCCTCCCACACACATAAAACATATTTTATATCAAAAGCATCTATTTTTACTTTAATTTCTTCACATTTTGTGGCGTGCTGGTGAATGTTTAACCTACTTTGGGGTGGCACAAGAGGGGATCAAGTGAGAAGCCCTGAATTTCAGCACTAGCTTGTTTTCAGATGTAAACACCACTGCTAATTTCAAGCTACTCATGTGATGTCGTCACAAGTGGGGCTGAGGCAAGAGACACACGACTGGCTGTCACTGTCCTGAGAAAGCTAGGGCCAGCATACCACTCCCTGAGGTACTTTTTTCCAGGTACTGTTAGGAGATTGATGAGAGTAAGTCTAGTGCTAGCCCATGGTAGACATGGATGAGAAGGAGTAGGTATGTACAGAGGGAGATAGACTTTTGGTGTTCAGATGAGAAAATACTCATGTTTGATCCTTTTCCACTCTGGTCTAAAAAATGCATTGAGAATCTGTATTGGGGAGCTATAAAATGTTTGTTTCTGTGTTTCTATAGATAACGTAATAAGTTTCCACAATGCCTATATGATAAAAAACACTTATTTCATAGATAAATGATCTAGAGATACCACCTTATTTCCAACTAAGGTTGCCCAAGAGCAAAAGACATGCCTGCATATAATTCTTCATTCCCTTAGAAAGCAGTTGAGTATATTTGCTCTTGTGGAAAAATATAAAAGTCTGCAATCTAAAATAAAGCTATGAAGCAGCTTCCAGGGGCAGCATAACTTCTGAATCAAATTTTTCTGCAAAGAATCCTGGTATTTATATGTCAAGAGAAACAAACATCTATATTTACCTTTGTCTGTACCTGATACAACATTTGTTTCTGTTACCATAGGGTTTGGAGTCTGAAACACTGTGATGATGGATTACCCACTGTAAGATAATAAAGAGTAGCTGCATTTTATCTGGGGAACTGATGCTATTATTACCACCCATGTATTTGGAGAGAAGAGGAAAGGAATTCGAGTAAAAATTTAAAAATAGACTGGCATGAAGGAGGTCAGTAAAATTGTAGATAAAAGTGCTCTAGGAAGACTGTTGATGTGGAAAGTTTGCTTCATTGGTATATTCATTAAGTTGTGTAATTCCTGAAGGAAGCTATCTCATGAGAGAAAATGATGAACCCTCTAGCCTGAGAATTCAAGTCCATGTTGAATGTGACCAAACTCCAGTTTCTCCTTAAATCACAGACTCTTTCAGCCCTAATCTTTCTCATCTGTAAAAACACAGATGTTTTTCTTTTTTCCTTTCTTTTTGTCCATTGTTTTGCTTTTGCTTTTTTTACTGAGTTGAGGTCTAACTAATTTGCCTTGATATACCTCCAACATGTGATCCTTCTGCCTCAGCCAACCAGAAGTAGCTGGGATTACTGGCATGTGACACCACACTCAGAACCTCTAGAATTTTGTTTAAAAATTCAGAATAATCAAAGCAGAGTACAGAGTTGTAACACTTTGTTCATTACCGGGTTGAGTGTAATCCAGTAAAATACCTGGGAGGAACCCTATATTAGATCTGTTGACATTTAAGATTTAGTTAGGGGCTGGGGATTTAGCTCAGTGGTTCCACCGCCTACCTCATAAGCACAAGGACCCGAGTTTGATCCCTGGTATGAAAAAAAAAAAAAAAGATTTAAGCCTTAATGTATTCACACATTTATTTTGCATGTATCTTGGACAAAACAAATCAATCTGAAAGTCATTAAAAATTATTATACTTCAGCTTTAAGAATTTGGTAGGTTTATGAAGTAGCATTGAAATAAAACTTTTTTAAAATTGAGTTTATTGGTACATTTAAGGTATTCAGTACAATTCCATTCATTATTGGGATCTTGTACCTTTACACGACATGTCTTGGTTCTCATTTTTTTCCCCTTGTCCCTGCCCTCCCTTGAAATAAAACTTCTTGCCAGCATACAAAGTTTGGAATGTCTCTAATTGGTTGCTGTTTTTCATATTGTCATAATGTGGGTTCTCCCAGAAGTAGACTTGAGAGAGGATTCCAACATAAGTTTGGTTACTTGGAGAAATAATCTCTGGAAATACCCAGCAGAGGGGAAGTGGGAGAGGGAAGAAAGGAATGCAGTGAGGACTGTTTTCAGTGGAGGTGCCATTGTGGGCAAGTGCTGCTCGTTCTTGCTGGGGAATTCTAGAAGACACTGAAGGGCACGCCGCTGGATTGGCCCTAGTAAAAGGCAAGGCAGCTGGCGTGTTTTCGTAGCTGTCCATCCACCCTCGGTGACCCTGGCTGCTTCTCGAGTCATTAACTAGTTCAGGCTACAACTTGCTCTGCACCAGGGCTTTGTTTCCATAACTGGATTAAAGCCCTCTGGGTAGAAAGTAAGAAGGTATCAGCAATAAGGATCCTTCACCATATAGAGGCAGGATATCCCTTAGTTCATCTAAAATAGTTTAGTGTGAGCCACTAGGAGAAGCCATACTGTCATTTTAAATTTTCCAAGAGGCAAATTAGTAAGTAAAAAGACACAGGTGATATTAATTGATAATATACTTTTTATTCAGTACATTCAAAACAGTTCAACATATTGACAATATAAAGTTATTAGAGCTATTTGATTTTCCACCCAACTATATGAAAATTTGGTGTCTATTTTTCAGCTCATCACACAGCTCAGTTCAAACTATTCACTTTTCAAGACTCGGTAGCAACATAAGGCTGGTGACCACTGTGGGGACAGTGCACATGTGTTTGGGTTAGATTTGAGGGAGGCATGTGGGCGTTAATCCCTGAGTTACCTTGAGAGTCAACTCCAACCAGTTGATCATGGAGCTAAATGTGTGGGTCCCACTGATGCTCTACTTTCTCAAATAAGATTGGGCTCCTCTGATTTCCTAAGATTCCCCAAGCTGGGAAATGCTGTTCGATGCTTATTTTACACAGTTATTTTAGCTATTGATATGTTGAAAACTAACATTTTTAATATCTTTGCAAATGCATTGCCGCAACTTTTGTTAATGTATATGTTGGGGGTTTTGTTAGTGCAAATCCTTTTCTTTTTCTCCTCGGCCCACCAAAGCTTTGTGAGGTACTGTCTGTGGGACTTATGCAGTTGTGGGCCATCTGTCCTTGTGACTTCTCTGTGTGCACGGGCCTGTGTTCATGCAATTTATATTCCAATGAGGAAGGCAGATATAGTCCAGTGGTTAAGATAGATAAGTAATAGTAAGAGAAAGAGATAAATGTTACAAAGGACAAGTTCTTACCAAGTAATTTTTGCAGTGAGTTACTAGGCTTTATTTTTGAACCAAATGCCACATTTAAAATAAATAGGTTGGATAATGGATATTGGCTTTAAAATAGGATTTTTCACTCTTTTTTTTTTTTGAAATGTTCACCTCAGCATTCCTTTAATGAGGGAGATCTTTGATTTAGATTCTTTCTTTGAACTAATTCAGAGGGGACTTTTTACATGCTTACCTATATTGCAATTGGATTGTACTCCTATCTTACATTCCTGGGTGCCTAAATTGTGAGCAATTTGAATATGTCCTCCACTGGCTGTCAGACGCTGGCTGAATCGGTTTTGCCATTTTTCCGGTGTAGATTTCATAGACCTTAGAAGTGTAGCTGCCAGCAGGGCCGGTCAAAGACTGCATCTCCATCCCTCCAGGTGACCTCTATGAAGTATTTATTTAAGTTGCTAATGATGAAAAAGGCTGTGATTTCTCTGTTAATTAAGGCTGTTTATTCATTGGAAGAAATGTGAAGGCATTTAATAATTGAAAGACTTGATGTTTTCAAAGCATAACTGACTTTTGAGGCTGGACATACTAAAAGAAATGTTAATTTGAAGCACCAGAACTTTCAAAGGTTTGCCTGCAGTTGATTGTATATGCAGGATATTAGTTGAAACTATGTACTATGCCTGAGAAATTCTTCCAGTAGGATTTAACTAGCTGAATATAATACGTACAGTGTTTCATTACACAGTAATTGCATTTAGCGGGTATGGATATTTCATGAGGCTATTGCAACCATACTACCATAACTGTAATTGAAAAGATAGCATTTACTTTTTTAAATGTCTTTGTTAACACTTCAGATTGAATCAGTTGATTCAATACTTGAGATCATGTGTGTTGTTGTCACAGATTTAACTTTTTATCATGTATTGTTTCTTGAGACAAGGTATTTCCCAGTAAGGTCACTCAATTCCTTTCTCTACATGTTATTTTAAAATTTTCAATGATACTAGCAAAAGAAAAACTAACATTGACTGTATTAAGTAAAAAGATGCTTGCCACAAAGGTGTGACTCTAAGAAATTTGATTGGAGCCTAGAGTCTGGCTTTGCAAATAGGCAGAAGCCAAGGGCACTCTAAGAGCATATTAGGTTGGGCCCCCCAGAAGCCGAGACGAGATGGGGATTCTTGAGCAAATGGTTTATTTAGGGAATGTTCTCTACAGAAAGCTGTAAAGGAGTGAGAGAAAAAGAGCAGGCAAAGAAGTCAAACCACAAGTAAGGGTCCAGATGAAGTCTGGCCTCAGCTTGATTACCCAGAAAGCGCCGAGCTTAAATTACATCAGATAATTGTTCTATGTGGAGCAAAGGGCCAGCCTGTTTGTGCTCTGATGCTATCAGTCCCTCATTGTGGACTGCCCTGGGTTGAGGAAAAACTCTCAGGTAGTGGTATACTCTGAGGGTGAGAGTGTGAGGAGATCTGCATTTGCCAATTTCCATGGTGTACGCTCACCACAGCCTAGTCAAGATACCAGTATCAAGTTCCTGAATGTGGGGTTGGGAAGAAAGATGCAAACAATGAGCTCCTTAAGCCAGTCTGAGCGGGACAGAGCAAGTCACTGTTCACTTCCACTCATGTCTTGCACTTGCACTCAGACTTGTACTCCTGTGGTCTGTTTTGATAGGCTTTAACAAAAATGTGAAAAGTGTGATATCTGAATCACTGTCTTAACTGAGATTTCCTTTTATGAAATACCACCTTTAATGAAATGATAGTGTTAGGATAGGTAGATAAGAACCAGTGTGTGCATATGGGTGTAAGTTATCTTTGGTAAAATAAGAAATAGATAACTATGTTAATTGACCCCAATTACAAAAGAAACTACTCTGTAAAGTTTAATAGTGTGCAAACTCCTGAATTTCTACTTGACATTATTCATGTGAAAATTAAAGAATGGAAATTCAAGATACAGTTCATGGCCTGTTATAGACCTTAATATGGGCCCAATAATACTTTATAATATATGCTCAAGAAAATGGCCTTTCCAGAGTTGTCACAGAATAAGAAAACAAATGCAAACTTTCTTGAGCAGGGTATTACTATTTTATAAATTATACAATATAAGTATACTCAATTCTTTGCTTTCCCATTACTGTGTGATATTGCTATATGTCATTATTACCTCAAATTTAGTGACTTACAACAAGCATTATTTATTTCATTGGCCTATAGGTAGTCTGGGAAGTTATGAGGATCACAGCTGGGGTTGGTTGGTTAGTTCTAAGAGGATGGACTCTCCTGTATGTGGTCAGAGGGGCCCAGGGTCGTCTGGTCTAGGCTGCCTTTTGCTGAAAGGGTTATGATGACTGGAGACCCTTTCCATGAACATTCATATTCCAGAAGGCTTGTTCTCAGGGTGGTGGAGATTCTAAGTCCAAACTAACTGCAACCTTCAGAACCAGAGCAATGGGTTTTCAACCCCATTCAGGTGGCCAGAGCAAGTCCCATATCCAGAAGCCAGGAGTGAAGGAAAGAAGGAAAAAGCTGGAGGTCACATTGCAGAGGATTTAGATACTGGGAGGAATGGAAACCTGGTCATTTTGGTGATCTGCCACAATCTGATTTACCTGCATTGAATCAGTAAGCAATTCTTGTATTTTCTATTATTGCATTTTCTTTCTTTTTATTGAGTTTATTGGTACATTCTAGGTATACAGTACAGTTACATTTATCATCGGGATCCCGTACCTTTACATGACAGGTCTTGGTTCTTATTTTTCCCCTTGTCCTTGCCCTCCCTTCACCTCTCCTCCCCTCCCCATTTACAAACACTTCATTTCCATTTTTTCATTTTCTCATATTTTTTTCTTTTCCCTTATTCCCTTTCCCCTACTCTTCCCACTTTCCCTACACCTTTAGCACTTTTCTTCCTATTTCACATTGTTAATTATCTCATTAGGATCTTGTGTACTATTATAGCTTTTCACACCAGAGAAACTATTAGGTATTTACACATATCTGACTTATTTATTTCACTTAGGATTACATCCTCAAAATGTATCCATTTTACTATCAATGAATCTAATTTCTCATTTTTTATGGCTGAGTAGTATTCCATTTTATAGAAAAACCACATCTTTAACCAGTTTCCAACTGATGGTCAAATGAGCTGTTTCCAACTTTTAGCTATTACAAACTGTGCTGCTATAAACATAGGTGTGCATATATCACTGTGATATGATCCTTTTAATTCTTTTGGAAAGATACCTAGCAGAGTTATGGCTGGGTCAAATGGAACCTCTAGTCCCAGCTCTTTGAGGTATCTCCATATTGATTTCCATAGTGGTTGCACTAGTCTGCACTCCCACCAACAATGGAGAAGGGTTCCTTTCTCCCCACAAACCCTCCAGCAGCCATTCTTTGTGGGGTGAGGTGGAATCTCAGTGTTATTTTCATCTGCATCTCTCGAATGACCAGTGATGTGGAACATTTTTTCATATATTTACTTGCTGCTTTTACTTCTTTGTCTGAGAAATATCTGTTCATTTCAGATGCCCATTTTGAATTGGGTCTTTATATTTGGGGGGCTGATTGTTTTGAGTTCTTTATATATTTTTAAACTCATCTACCTCTCACCATTGCTAATGCAAGCCACAAAGACTCCCTAATTTGTCATCCTACTTCCACTCTTAGTCATGCCTACTCCACATTTTATAGAGCAGACATGAAGATCTTTCTCTTCGATTCCATCTTATTCCTTTCTGTGGACTAAAAGTTACCATGGTGTTGTAACACTTGCTCAGCCCCAACCTTACTGGAGTCCTTTGAAGTCCTGGCACACATCCAGCCCACTATATTTCAGCGGCTTTGTAGTTGCTGGGCCCTCTCCATGTTTCCTTTTTCAAGTTATTTCTTTCATTTTATCCAATCAGATCTGCTCGACAGTCCTTTCTTAGCCATCTGTGTCAAGCATGACGTGATCACTTTCCATCATACATTCATTTTGCATACTTCCTTCCTAATACTCCTCAGTTTATTTATTTACATGTTTATTGTCTGTCTCTCCCACCTAATGTGTCATAAGTTAAAGACAGTGTCTGATTATGGGCATCACTGCATGAAGTAGACACTTCATATGTATTTGTTGATGTTTTACAGAACATGTTCCCTAGTGACACTTTGATTAAAATCAGAATCTTTGTAACATTTCCATTTAGAACGTGTTTTTTATTTCCACATTTTCATAGCAAATACTCAGTTAAACATCATAAGCCTTGATCATGATAAATGCTCTTCTGTTAAGGAAACAGAATTGGAATGGTCGAAGGAATTCAAAGTGGATAGGTGTGATGCTGCATCTAATATGGATACTCACAAAAGAAATGGATTAGAACATAGCTTAATTGATACAACAAATTATGTTTTCAGACAGGTGTCTTTGCCAACTACATCCCTCAGTATCCAAAGCCTTATTTTCCAAATGGAGAAAAGAGATCATCAAAATTGAATTCTGTTCATGCTTCATAGAGAAATGAAATCTTTCCATCATGAAAAATGAGTATCAGGTGCTTGTGATTTCCTTTTATCAGCTGTTAATCAGAAGAGACGAGGAGAGCAGAGCGCACTAATGAAGAGACCAGCCACGGTGAAGGCAGTGGTATTGGAGGAAGCTTTGTGACTGTTAATTAGGTGATGGCCTTGGGAAATCCACTGCAAGGGTGAGAAATGGAGAGGAAGCTGAATACTGGGAAGCATCTCCCTGGGCGGATAACATCTGATGTATTGATGCTGGAATGCTATGAGTTATATGAACTTGGTTTTGAGCAGGGGGGCTCTGGTGTTTTGAAGCTGCTATAAGACCTTAGCTAACAGGCCTTCTATGCCTTAGCAATGTTTTATATGTATAAGTTAGTAAGTATTCATATCACCTCTTAGCATGAACACTCTGGAAACATTGTAATGTACGTTTGTAACTTGGTGGGGGGCTGCCAAATATCTGGGCTCCTTTTTTTTTTAGAACTGAAAGAACTCCTGATTTTGAGAGCTGGTAGAACAACAACAACAACAAAAAAGCCCTATATCCATTCCCAGGCTCCTCTGCAGCTAGGACACAGGCATGTGGCCTGAGATTGTGTAATTAGATAAACCTACCCTAGACTGTGATGGAAAGAAAGAGCACAACAGGCGCCATTTTCTTGGTAGAGATGGTGGCAACTGCGGTGGTGGGGATGGTAGAAACTATGACCACAGCTCATGGTGTTGTCAGTGCAAGCTGTGCTGGTCTGTGACAACAAGCTGAAAGGGATTCTAGTCAGCATCCATTTCCTGCTTTATCTCTTTGGATCTTCCCTGACTTTTCATGGTTCCCAGCAATGCTGTGAGCTATCTATCATACGTTCAATAAATTATTTTATGCTTCAAAAAAGCAAGGTTACTTTTTTTTTTTTTGCTTATACATAAGAGCCACGACTACTAACTCACTCTAGCAGAAAATGCCAACAATTTTATAAGTACAATATAATGTAATATATTTTATCATAGGTGTGCTGCCTTATATGATTACATTGTCTAGTACCGCCCAAATATTGAGAAATTTGTTTAAGAGGACTTAACATTTTGTTGCCTTGGTTTCTCAATTTATTATATTTAAAAATCATAACCATAATTTAAAATGAGAATTTCTTTGGTTAGTATTATGCTTCACTCTGTTTAAAAAGCTACGACTTTTGTCTTAAAACTAAATTTTATTAAATATAATTAATCTATTTGAGAATATTTCTTTTGAGTCTACTCATATTGTATGTTTTAGAAATCAGGTAAAGATTTATCTTCTCCATGACCAAGAGTTACTTCATGTTGGTACAGAGGTAGGGAAGTAATTGATAAAGCTGGATGTAATCAATAATTAATGATCTTTGTGAATCCGTAACTTCTTTTATTTGAAAACTTTTGTTGCTAAAATGAAATAATTGCTAAAAAAAAAAACCCAGGAACTATAAAGCACTACGGTGCTAAAACTGAATGATGCTTGGATAGTTTCTTTTTATTAATGCAGCTCTGAAGAGTTTATAGCCTAGGGCAGAGGTACTGAAAGTACGACTCATAGACTTGTGCTATCTGTAAACTATTCCTAGGAAGGAGAGGTAGAACTTGTGCCAGAATATAAATCAGCCTGCTATTTATGCCAGCTGACAGTTTCTCTAGAGTAAGACTTCCTCGAAATTTGTCATTTTTTATGTTTGTGTGCTAGCTACTTTGATTAGCAATAATCTGTCAGATAACAAATATAAAAAGAAGGAAGTAATGGGTGATTACATCAATCAATGGAACAGCAAAATATAACCTCACAATAGCCCTCATTTAAAACATTTCAATTAGTACATATGATAGGACCGTCACTTATCTTCTTTCTTTTCATAAAGGAACCTTGGACAGGTGTTAAGTACACACTTCTAGATTTTGTCATATTTACAAAAACATCTAAGATTATCTGGTTGTCAAGATTTTTCAATCTCATGTAGGAAAAGACAAGAACAATTGTATACATTCAAATATCATACATGCTGTTTTAATAAGTGTTATAGCCCATGAGAAAGCTCGGCCTAAGCAACATCTTAAATAAATATTTAAGAAGTTGAAGGTTATATTTTAATCTCAAATTTTGTGTATGTATGAGCTGGTAACTCTCAATGAACCTTTAAAAAATTACCCCAACTAAGGAAGAATTAGGAGTATTTGTACATAAAAATGGTAACAACATAAAGGGATCAATTTTTCTTGCTCTTATTTATGGGGTTGTTTCCTAATTGTTCTCCCACTAGTCATTCAAATGAAGCACAAGCACTAAAAAACCAAAAATGTGGGTTTTGAAGATTATAATGAACTTAAGCCAGAGCAAGCCAAAAGTGACCTGTGGTAGTAGAGGTCACACGAGGAGTCATTTTGAGGGGATATTTGTAAGGAGAGGACACGAGGAACTTAGGAAGTGCAGGAAATGTTTCAGGTTTGTCAGTGCTGTCCCATGTTACAGCCAGAGCCACTGTAGTTATTTAGATTTAGATAAATTGAAAGCAAACTAAATTAAATACTTTAGAGATTTGATTAAGGCTGTTGAACTAGTAAAAGCCTCTGCACATATTCTAAATCCCTCCCCAGCCCCCCCAAAACCCCCCACAAACTGAAACATTTCTGGCCCGAGCCTTTTGGAAGAGGGATATACAATGCATTAATGTTGGGCTTGCCCTCCAGTATTTTTAAAACTTGCTTTTGCTTAACGCAGATTCTTTATCACTGATTTCTAAGAGGTGGGAAAAACCTGGACCACTAGTAAGAAAGTTATTTCATTAAACTAGTATATTAGTCATCTTTACACTGCTGCAACAAAATTGAAGAGTAGTTTTATTTTGGGTCATAGTTTCCGAGGTTTTTGTCCACAGGTGGCTCCCAAGGAAGAAACATGGTAGAAGATGATACTTCTTCGAGTCGCCCAGACATGCCCAGGCATGCTTTACTAATTTTTAAGGCATTTCTTAATGCAGTGAAATTTACATAGCATAATTGATTGTCAGAGCTTCATTGTATCAACTCCCTTGGTATGGGAGCTTCGATACTAAGGGAACTGGTGGTGCACACTTTCCAGTGTGTCTGGGTGGACCATGGAAGCCGTTACCTTGGCTGCTGTATCAGGTCCCTCACCCCTTCCTCTTTGGCACTGTTTTGTGGCTTCCTTGATTAAGCGTCTTTGCTCTCCCATGCCTTTTCATCATGTTGTTGCTGCCTCAGCCAGCTGGCGATGAAATGAAGGCCTTGAAACCATAAACCGAATTAAGCCTGTGCTCCTTTAAGTAGTAGATGTTAGCTTTTGTGTCCCACCAGTGGGAAAGCTGACAAATGCAGAAGAATGGCAGGAAAAGTGAGATTATTGCTGAGACTGTACCTGGCTATGTTGTTTAGAAGCCTTCGGAGCTAGCTTGAAGGATGACTTTGGAAAGGATTAGAGATGCAGGCTAGAGAAGTCTTAGAATGCTGTAAGAGCTTGAGAAATGGCTCTGATTAGAGGTCAAAATATCAGAATGTTAATAGGAATGCAGGCAATAAAGGCTATACTCAGAAGGTCTCAGCTGGGAACAAGGAATTTGTTGGCAGTTGGACTAGAGGCCATGTGCATTGTACTCTACTGAAAAAAAATTGTCAACATTTTATCTGTGCCCTGAAACTTTGCCAGAGACTAAAATTAAGGCCAATGGACAAATCTGGCAGAAGAAATCCAAAGGTAACACAAAGTCAAGCTATGACGTGGACATTATTCATTGCTTTTAGCTGGATTTACAGTGAGAATTGGGAGAAAAGCAAGACAGAAAAATCTGATTAACTTAAATTTTTCCCAGAAGGCACCATGTTTAAAATTGGTGCCAAACAAAATGTAGAGATTGGTGTCATTAAAAAGAAACTAGGTACGCTGTATAAGGATAAAGAAGAAAGATGCTTTAAAGGCATCTCAGGTATCAGCAATTCCCCTTACAGACTCGAGGGTATAAAAGTGTAAACCTTTCATTTGAGAAGACAGCTCTTGAACCCCCTGCAAGAGAAGGACCCCTTAGGGTATTGGCTCCGCAGGATTTATTTTTCTCTGCTGAGCTATTCAAACACTCAGGACCTAGTGCAGCTACCCCTAGTGCAAGGGGTTCTGGCCCTTTTTCCACTAATGCAGGCCTTGACTTCATTTATGTGGTACCTGTTTTACCAGTACAGAGAATGTGAGAACTGAGGGGTCGGGGAAGCTTCCATTCAGATTTCAAAAACCTGGTAGGCCAGGCAAGGAGCCCCCAAGAGAGAAGTGTGTGAAGTTCTGAGAATAGAGTGAAAGGAATAGTGGTTACTCTAGGAAGTCATATAGGCCAGGAAGACAGACCTTCTGCCTGGGCAAGCTTCAGGACACGAGCACAGCCAGTGTAAGAAAGTAGCCATGTAGTCATACTTCCAAAACTCATATACAGATTTAGTGTAATACCGTCAAGATACTAACAGCATTTTTTACAGAACTAGAGAAAACAATCCGAAAAGCTATATGAATCCAACATAGACACCAAATAGCAAAAGCAATCCTGAGTAACAAGATTAAAGCAGGGGGCATCAAGCCTTAAATATGCGTCTTTGAGGGGCCACTTCAAATTCAAACAAAACAACTAAATTAATTATTTCTCTCTTCATCTGTTTTTGCATTGGTATCCCCTCTTTTTTCCTGCTTTTCTTTTCAGACTTTGAGAATTTCAACAGAGGCGACTCATTTTTCTATACTGCAGCCACTTCAAGTATTACTAAGTAAATGTGTTCGTGGAGCAGAAGCACTGATACCACTAGAGCCTTGCTAAAATTCAGAATATTAGGCTCCACCTAAGACATACAAAGCTAGAACCTCCATTTCAACAAGAGACGCTTTTACAACTCACAGCTAGAGAGGTACTAGTGTAGGAGTCTAAAATTGATGGATGAAAACAACGCATAGTCCCTGGAATATTTAATAAATAGACTAATGTATTTGAGTCAACATTTTTAACCCATTATCCAAGATGAGTCATAAATATTAAATCGACCATCTATTATTTCCTAAATTGAACACCCATAAAAGATTGTTTTCTTCTGTGGAATTTCTCATCTCACAAAGAAACTGAGTCACCAGTGTCAAAGTCCGTCTTCCAACAATGTGATAGGTCAAATGTGATTCACATATTAAAAGTGATTTGCCTTTTAAGGCATTGTCATTCAGGGAGAAAAAAATGACATACAAAAAGATAAATGCATCATTTTAAGCCTTTGGCTAAATGATGGCAGTTTAATAAGACATACCTTGGTACTGACAGCTTTCGATTAATTGTTGAAACTGAAAGTAGAAAAAGAATGAATGAGCCAAAATGTCACATAATTAATATTACTTATGGTTAGCTTTATAATGTATGTCCTCCTTACTTTTTGACTGAAAGCGATTTAATTTCAAATCACATGCTGAGAACACATTCTGAAAATTTGACTTGGGAGGAGGGAAGTGACTGCCTACTGTCCTCTTTCTACTCCCTACTCAACTGCTGTTATAACGTTTTCAGCAGCCCACACCATAGGCAAACCAAACAGCTCATTCTCCAAGAGGCCTCTCAGCACAGCTAAAAATGAGCTGATTTTACTCAAATTGTAGAGCAGGAACTAAATTCCGGTGGCAGGGAAAGCAAAAACTTAAACTTGTGAGTAAGACTGGAACAAAATAAGAGCCAAACCAAAGTCCTGAGTGTGCC